ATATTTCTTCTGGGTAAAGAATAATTAAGGCATTTTAGACAAATTTCAGGGGTAACAAACTCGCATTTATGTCGTAAGGAAGGAAATCAGGAAAATTTCCATCTGTCAATTCGACTGTCGACACATATAGTGAAAATTACTACTGAGAACTTCTAGTTCCTTAAACAAATAAGATATATGCATTCCACTAGCTCTTATTTAGCTTTCGTTTTAATGACAAGCAATGAATCGTGAAATAAATATATTTTTGATACATACACTTGATTCCATTAAAAGACAATATTTCTTTTTAGTTTTTATCAAATAAGTTGATAATGTAGCATTGTAGTAGTTCCCAGTAGTTCAGTTTTATATTTTTATAACACAGCTTTTTAATTTATTCAAATGCTCGACCCTAATTTAAAAACCTATTATAAATTTCAATTTCCTATTCATGATGAATAAATATTAATTAATGAAAGTTAATTATTTTGTTTTAATCGAAAGTAAATGTCAACTGTGAGGGAGTTTATAAAAGCACAAACTCTATTATTTTTCATTGGCGCAACAGTCTTATAAGGGGTCAAGGCTGTCTGCCTACTGGCAGGCTTCGAGAAAGGAGATGTTTTCTTTTTACTGGGTAGATTTGTCAGCCCAACGCTCTACAACCTTATTAGACCGGGAACTACGGTTTAAAGTGGATGCCGAATCACTACAAACATCCATGGCACCGCCGGGACTCAAACCCGAAACTTATGGCACAGAGCGTTAGTCACTAGGCCATTAAGCTCCATAAATTCTATTCAAGTTTTTATAAATAGTTAATTGTTTGTTTAAAAATATTTTGTCCTTTTAAAAAAAAAACACTTTTATCAAGTATACAATAAATACTTGAAAAAATTTTCTCATCTAAATATATACAAATATTTTTTTTTTTTTTTTAAAAAATGATGTTAAAACTATATATCTAATATCATTGGTGTGATAAGAATTGTCTACAAAATTTAGTGTCTTAAATGAAATAGAATCTTTATAAACTTTACCTCTTTTTGTGTTTGCTTTTATAAACCAAAGGTAAAACAAAACTTTTAATTGATTTTAGCTTCTGTGTTTCTTTATTAGAAATTTCCTCTATTAAAAATACTGATATTTTCACTTAAATATTAGTCGTTAAAAATCCATTCGTTTAATTCACCTTTCAAAATTAGTCTTCTTTTTTTCAATTCCTTCTATTAGCTCACACTCTCCCAATATACACTGAAGTGACAAAAGTCATGGGATAGCAATATGCAAATTTTCAGATGGCAGTAGCATCGCGTAGAACAAGTATAAATGCGCAGTGCTTTCGCAGAGCTTTCATTTCTGTTCAAGTTATTCATGTGAAGAGGTTTTGACTTGATGATGACCGCACGACGGGAATTAACAGACTTGAACGCGGAATGTTAGTTGGAGCTAGACGCATGGGTCATGCCATTTCGAAATCGTTAGGAATTCAACATTCCCAGATCCACTGTGTCAAGAGTGTGCTGAGAGTATGAAATTTCAGGCATAACATCCCACCATGGACAGCGCAGTGGTCGACCGCCTGCACTTAACGACCGAGACCGTGACGTCTGTAAAGAGTCGTAAATTCTAACAGACAAGCAATACTGCGTAAAAATAATCGCAGAAATTAATGTGGGACGTACAAGGGACTGGTCTGTTAGAACTGTGCGGAGAAATTTGGCTTTCTTGGGCTATTCCAGCAGAAGACCGACTCGAGTGCCTTTACTGACAGAACGACATCGCTTGCAGCGACTTCCGTGGGCACGTGAGCATATCGGTTGGTCCCTAGATGAAGAGAAAAACCGGGACCTGGTCCGATGAGTCACGATTTCAGTTGGTAAGAGCTGATGGTAGGGTTCGAGTGTGGCGCAGACCCCACGAAGCCATGGACCCAAACTGTCAGCAAGGCACTGTTCAAGCTGGTGGGGCTCCGTAATGGTGTGGGCCGTTTTTTCATGGCATGGACTTGGTCCTCTGGTGCGACTGGACCGAAAATTGACTGGAAATGCTTATGTTCAGCTACTTGGAGATCACTTGCAGCCATTCATGGACTTCATGTACCCAAACAACGATGGATTTTTATGGATGACAATGCGCCATGTCACCGGGCCACAACTGTTCGCGATGGGTTTGAAGAACATTCTGGATAATTCTAACGAATGATCTGGCCACCTAGATCGCCCGACATGAATCCCATCGATCATTTATGGGACATCATCGAGAGGTCTGTTCGCAGCCCAAAAAATCCTGCACCATCAACGCTTTCACAATTATGGACGTCTATCGAGACAGCATGGCTCAATATTCCTGTAGAAGACTTCCAACGACTTGTTGAGTCCATGCCACGTCGAGTTGCTGCACTTCGCCGGGCGAAAGGAGGGCCGGACACGATATTAAGAGGTATCCCATGACTTTTGTCACTCAGTGTATATCTTGTTCAAATTTTTCAATCGTTCATAAAATACTTCTTATTCATCCATTCAAGTTCAAATACATTTGTTTTAACTTGTAGTGGATGGCACTGATGTTAATACAGTTTGTTTCAAATATGAATTCAGTAATTAAATTTAATGAATTAATTTTATTTTTTTTAGATTTAAGTTGCATATATCTATCAATAGATGGCGCCAGATAAACTAAAAAAAACGAATGAAAATTATTAATAGAGGACTTTTCTGCAATAGGGTGGAAAAAAGTAGAATTTGAAAAAAAAAAAAAAAATTTATATTACTTGTTTTTTAAAAAGTAAGTCACTTAAAGAAATTTTTCATCGTCTGTCTAAAAAAAAAAAGTTCACAATTTAAACCTTTTATTTTTCTCGTGATTTCATAATAACTCATTATTTATCGTTTGATGATAATTTTGTTGAATATCTTTTAGATTCCATCTCAAATCAAATTACTTGAATTACACTCATGTCCATAAATTAAGGATAATGAAGTTCAGGCAAAAAGAAAAAGACAGAAGCAAAAAAATTTGACTTATTTGTATAGTATATATTTATTAAACAAAAGGTAAAGAGCAAAAAAAGATGCTATATGTTTGACATAATTAATAAAAATTGCGATTTTTACTCCCTGGAGCATATTTCAAAAAAGAACCTATTTTAAAAAACACAGCATAACATGGTTAGTATGATGGTTAATACAGAGTATGTCTCCCGGACGATGCAATACAGGCCTTACAACGCCTAGGCATGCTGAGTATCAAATTATCAATCTGATCTTGGGGTATATTACACCACTCATCAAGCAATGCCCTCCGAAGTTCCGGTTGACAGGTGGGAGGGGGTTGACGGGTTGCAATTCGTCGGCCAAGCATATCCCACACATGCTCTATTGATTCAAGTCCGGTGAGTATGCTGGCCAATCCATACGAGTGATATCCTCCAATTGAAGGCATTCGTCTACAATGTTTGCACGGCGAGGACGGGCGTTGTCGTCCATAAACAGAAATTCAGCACCCATGGCGCCCCGAAACAAACGTACGTGTTGTTCCAGAATGACATCCCGATAAATGTGGCCTGTCATCGTTACACTCTGAACATGCAGGTCAGTTCTGGAACCAAGAATAATTCCTCCCCAAACGAGCCATCCTGCACCACCATAATGGTGTCGTTCAATGGTGTTCTCTTGGTGGTAACGGGTAGCTGGAGCTCTCCATATGAAAATCCGTCGAGAATCAGACTACAACTAAACCTGGACTCGTCGGAAAACATAACACCAGACCACTGTTGCGGTGTCCACAATGCATGCTCCTCTACTCGAGGTTAATCGCAGGCGACAGTGAGTTGCGTAGTGGGCCGGAACACCTCTGATAGGCCTACGAGCATATAGACCAATGTGCCCTAAGCGTCTGTACACGGTCTGCCTTTGAAACTGCCGTACCGGTAGCTGAAGAGAGCTGACGAGACAGGTCTGATGCTGTGCTCCGTCTGTTTCTTTTGACAGTAACTGCTCAATACCGGTCCTCATTCGGCGTTGTAACTCGGGGGGTGACCTGTGCTGTAACATCTACTCACATTACCATCATCTTGGAATCGTTGCCAAAGCCTGAGAGAACACTCTGGGCGATTCCAAGTTCCTCGGATACTTCCAGCTGGGTACGTCCACATTCCAGTCGTCCGATAATTCTACCACGTAAAAAATCATCCAAATGCTTCCTTTGTGCCATAACTATGCGGTTATTGCACTGAAAAGGCTTTTAAAGCGCTTGTGAACAATTTTACTTCTTTGCCACCATTCCTTATATACCCCTCTCTTACACTCTCGTCATTGTGACGTACTATCCGCACCATCTGGTGGTTTCCTGTAATTTGCATATTCTTCTTCAAGATGTGTGTGATAATTCTACAGGTGAAATTTTTATTTTAGAGTTCAATTTCTGTGTGATTTCTGAGTTATCCTTAATTTATGGACATGAGTGTAGTATATTTATAATAGTCGTATTCATAGACAGGGGCAAATGTGGTACTTTTAAGTGTTATCATGCCTAAGCAATACACAGATTCTTAAATAAAATCTTCTTGTTCTAAAGTATTTTTACTATTACGTCAATTGTAGAAACTACAAATTTTTATCTATTGTCGAATTTGTGAATTCATGTCAATAGTATTAATAGGAACCTGTATACTCACTTTCTTTGTACACTGTGACTTAGTAAGGTGACTTTCTTTTATTTAAATTAATGTAGTTTCTTTTCAACATTAAAATTTTTTGTACTTAAGCTCCATATAATACTTTTAATATTTTTAATACTGTTTTCTGTTATTTTATTATAATTAATTGTCTTTATTATTATTCTCATTTGACTTTCCCCGTGTGTTGTTGTAAAGATTTTGTGGACTGTTACACCTCATGTTGTTATGTGGTGAACGTGTTATTGTATGTGGTTAAATACAAAAAGTAATCTTTGAGCTTTCCTGGTATCTGTAAGAAAAATTAAAGTAGTATATCGGTTTTATGTTTTAAATAGCCAACGGCCGTACCATGCTGAATATACCGGTTCTCGTTAGATCACCGAAGTCAAGCATCATTGGACGCGGTCAGTACTCTGGGTGGGTGACCACCTGGGAACACCGCGTGCCGTTGGCATTCACAAATTTGGGACCATGAATGGCCGAGTGTCTAGCGCTCTGGCGCTCGGTGCCACAGGTTTCGGGTTCGAATCCCGGCGGTGCCATGGATGTTTGTAGTGGTTCGAATCCACTTTTAAGCCGTAGGTCCCGGTCTCCTATGACTGTAAGAGCGTCACGGAACCAAAGTCAGACTTCTACCTACGAGTGCTCCATCAGAACAGAAGCTGCTTCCTTCCCCTTCAATCATGAGTACGTATGGGCTCGTGGGCTTGGCCTGCCAAGTGGGATAAGAAACAACAAACAACAACAACAACGTTTTAAATTCCAATAATAAAAATAATAAATAAATAAATAAATGAAATCATTGATGTTTCTTCGTGGTCTATATTTACTACATTTGAAAATTAATTTGAATTAGATAATGTTGCATTGTGTTTAGTTAAATGAAAAAGGCGCTCTTTAAGATTTCCTGATATACTATGCAAGAGCATCATTGATGTCTTTTCAAGATTTATATTTTATTATATTTTAAAATTAATCTGGTTTAGAGGTAGCGATGATTAAATATTGAAATTATTAGATACATTTCTTTTCACGTTAAAATGCAGCATGATTCTCTTGAATTTTATTAAGTGATTACGGATTTAAATTTTAAACAAATTTTACATTTGTCAAAATTTTATGATGTTTATAAAAACAAAATGAAAAAGATAATGTTAGTAGCATGTTAAAAAATAAAAGTTTTGATACTTTTCTACATATCGATTTTTAAGAAAAATATATTTGTGTGTATATTAGAACACTTTTATGGAATAGATGACATTCGGCAAAATTATTTTGAGCACTTGAAAGAAAAATTAAACAAATTAAATAACTAAACTTACTAAAATTAACGTCGAAATACAAAAAATAAAGTGAGTTATAAATTTAAAAATCATGAATATATTCATTCCAGGCATGAAAACTAAAAATATTTAATTTTGCGTTGCCGGCAACACCAGGTTAGCTAAACTATGAGTTGCCAATCAGTTAATTTAAACAGAAGAATTAACTGAGAATCAGTGATGCATGAGAATCTTTCTTCTTGGAATCTATCTATCACGGTCTGATGGCTAATTGGATCTGGCCGTTGGTAGCACAGGTTTCAGGTTCGAATCCTGACAATCGTATGAGTATTTGTTAGTGGCTCGAAATCTACTTTAAACTGTTAAGTCCCAGTCTGATTAGTCCAAAGGATACAAGAAATGGCAGTACAGCGACAAACCAGACCAATCTATATAACCTCAAGCATTTTCCCTTTTTCAGTAACTAGATAGCAGAATTATACCCATGAGAGGTCAGTAAGGTGGGATTATTTAAATAGTGGGTTTAAAGATTTATTCGAATCAATTATTGTTGACAATTTTCTCCTATAAATGTTTTCTATTATATTAGCCGAACAATACCTCTCAAATAAATATAGAAAAATGGAGAAGTGAATTTTTTTCTGTGGTAAAAGGCTGATAAAGTAATACAAAAATAAATATAAAAATTAACAAGAAATACAAAAAATAAATAAAGTAAGTAAGTAAGATGATGGAGATATTCATGAGGATGATATAAATTTAAGATGGATGGTAGATTCATTAAGGAATGAAAACTTTTTTGTTCTAATGCAGCTGGCAAAAAACTTGGTAGACACTTGTCTTGGATGCCTGCACAGGCGTTACTCACTTTGTATTACCCTTTGTACCGTGTAACTTGAAGATAAGCCACGGAGTAACAATGCCCCCCGCAACACTCTACGATCTTATTAGACCGGAGACCTACTTTTTAAAGTGGATTCCGAACCACTACAACATCCATGGCACCGCCCGGACTCGAACCCGAAACCTGTGGTACCGAGCGCCATAGCGCTAGTCACTCGGCCATTCAGGCCCAAGGAAGGAAAACTAAAAATTTGAATTTTTTTTTTTGTTACCGGGCAACGCCAGGTTAGCTAAACTATGGGTTGTCGATCAGCTAATTTAATTGAAATATCAACACTGGAGAGTCAGTGATATATGAGGATCGGTCGTCCTGGAAATTTACCTAATCTCAAGCATTTTCCCTTCTTCAATACACTGATAACTTAGAATTATAATCACTTTATTTAGTTATACGGGGTCAGTAAGGTAGGGTGTCTTTTATTTAAATAGTGGAATTAAAGATTTATTCTGAATCAGTGATTGCGAGAACTTCATTTTCTATTACATTGCACGAACAATACTATATATAGAAACACGTACGAGAAATGTCTAAGTGAAATTTAACTACTACCCTGCGAATTCTTTTGCATCTGTAATTTGGATTTCCAATTTGATATATTCAACTAATTTAAACAGAAGAATTGATTGGGTTAACACTGGAAAGTTAGTGATGTATGAGAATCTATCTCTAGAACGAAGAATAACGCAGCCAATTAACTAACGCTTTGGCCGTTGGTACCGCAGTCTTCAGGTTCGAAACCTGATTGGCATGGATGTTTATTAGTGGTTTGGAATCCACTTTAAACTGTTGGTCTCGGTCTAATTAGTCCAAATGATGCAAAAAATGATCGTATAGCGACAATCCACACCATACTTTTAACCTCGAGCATTATCCCTTCTTCAATAAATAAACTCATGTTTGTGAAAAAATTGCAACACCATGAAGGACTTATGCGAGTGAGCTGAAATTTTCAGGAAATGCAAATTAGCGCATGATATGCAAATGATTAGAATTTCAAATCCGTAGCGCATGAGTATGCTGAGCAGCGCCCTCTGAACGGCGGATGGATCGAATAAATAGACGGCTGTAGCGAGGCGTGTATGGTTATCTGCAGTGGTAAACGTTAGCTCAATCGTTACTTATGCCTCTTCGACGAAAGAGAGCGAGATTTGAAAACAACTTACAGAGTTTGAACGGGGAGAATTATCGGCCTTCGTGAAGCTGGATTGTCTTATCGTGCAGTAGTCGCTCGTGTGTGCAGCGTAACAGCAGCGCAATGATGCGTCTTTGGAAGCAGTGGACGGACGAGTGTCGGACAACTCGGAAATCCGGGAGTGGACCCCGAAATGTGACGTCAGCTCGCGATGATAGACACATGGCACTGACGGATGCCAGCTTCCTCTAGACAATTGGCAGCACAGTGGTCAATAGCTACAGGTGTTTCATTGTGTGCTTCATCAATTCGTAGAGGTCTGCTGCAGCGTGGACTGCGTGCAAGGACTTTATACAGGATCCCTCTCACGCTAAACCATCGCCGCACCTGCGGCTCCAATGGCCGCTCAGCATAGAGACTGGCGTGCTGATTGGCAGCATGTCGTGTTTTCTGACAAATCCCGCTTTTAGTTTGTGGTACCATGATGGCCGCATTCGTGTTTTGACTCTATGCCGGTGAACGCCACCTTTCCGGAGCGCATTATCGAACGCCCCAGTGGATGAACACCCGGAGTTATGGTCTGGGGTGCCATAGCATATCATGGGATCTCAATTGTTAAGAATTGTGGGCAATCTGAACAGCAATCGGTACATCAGTGAAGTTCTACAGCCCCAAGCTGTTCCCTTCCCTTCAAAGCTTGCCAGGCGCTGTATTTCAACAGGTCAATTCCCGCCCTCATATCGCTAGGACTGTTCAATCCTTTTGCAACGCGGCAGGTGCAGCTTCTTCCTTGGCCTGCGTATTCCCCGGATATGTCGCCGATTGAACATGTGTGGGATTTCGTCGGTCGGCGTCTCGCTCGTGATCCTCGTCCTGTTGCTTCTGCAGACGAACTTTGGGTGCGCATACAAACAATATGGAATGCTCTTCCTCAGGCAGACATTCAAAATTTGTTTGACTCCATGCCACGCAATCGTGTAGCAGAACTTATTGCGGCGTGGTGGCTACACAAAATACTGATTCCGATCTCTTGTTATTGTTTGTTTGCTTTTGAACATTTAATCATTTATTTGTACCACTACCACTCAACTGTGTATTAAATTTCATTCAATTATGACGATTCCTTCATGGTTTTGCAATTTTCACAAACATGAGTTTAGATACCAGAATAATAGTATGGTAGGATGTCTTTTATTTAAATAGAGATATTAAAGATTTATTCGAATCAGTGATTGTGAAAATTCCATTTCCCTATACATGTTTCCTATTATATTGCCCAACCAATATCTCTTAAAGAAACTTAAGATGAATGGCCAAGTGAATTTTACGCGCCCTGCGATTCTAATGGTTGATGAAGTAAAGGGTAAATAAATACCAAGATAACGCTAAGTAAACATTTAGTCAATCTATATTTATATTTATGTGTTTATGGGAGGATTTAACCCGGAAGCTATTGTAGAGTATAGTCGAAAATTAAGCGGATCTCAACGGTAAGTAAAAAGCCACGAATCTTCATTTTATTAAGATGAAATTAAAGGAATATAAAGAGTTAGCGTCCAGATAAGAAACACATGAGCGAAAAGCAATACGTCAAAAGGAGCGAAAGTTATAAGGCGTGCAGAGCAGAATTATAGCTATGCGGGGTCAGTGAGATAGGTTGTGCTTTATTTAAATAGAGGAATTAAAGATTTATTCGAATCAATAATTGTGATAGTTATGATGATTGTGACTTTATTATTATTTACCAGATCAATGAAATTTAATCTAAAAACTAGAAATACAATAAAAAACAAAATAACAATTTGTTCACTTCTGTTCTTGAATGCATATCTCAAACGACTGAAGTAAAATGAACTAACATTTTGCAAAAATACGATACTTTCTCACAGTGATGCTACAGGAAATAACATGCGCGAATATTTCAGATAAAAATAAATATATTTGGATTATGATAATAGCAGCGTTGATAATAAAAGAAATTCCATAACTTTGTTTCCCAACTCCTAGAATTACGTTTGGAAAACGGCACGTGTCAATGAATTGTAGTATTTTAAGAAGCAACCTTTGCACACTGAACTCTTACACACACTTTCTTTATATTCTCATGGAGAAAAGACACGGTTTTCCCCTT